AAACTTTGGGCTTCGCCGGCGACACGGACTAGTCTCGTGGGCCTAGAAAGCTTTTGGAGAAACTATGTATAATTAAAAAAAAAACATCGAGAAACAAATCTTTTTCTAGAAAGAGAAAATTCTAAGCCAAAAAAAGGAATTCCTTATGTTTTTTTCGGTTTCTCTCGCAAAAACCGAAATAGCCCTGTAATTAAAGTCTCTAAAAACTGAAACCTTACAAATATGCATAGAAAATTATGGAGGAAATCCTGTGTATATAATACGAGTTATAACGAAATCTTTGAGCTAAATATATGCGGTTCGCATTTTAACTTTCTGAAAAAATAAAAGAAATTGAGAATTACCATGAGCAAAAATGAAATGTTTAAAAAAAAATCAATTAATTATATAAAGTGTGCAACATAACATGAGAACATAAACAGCAAACTAATTTGTCAATTTAAATTTGTATGTGATACACATTCTAATTATATGTAAAATTAAAAGTGACATTATCACTATCTTTATACAAAAGAAGTCAAAAACACACTGCTTTTATTTTAGGGTTCGAACATGGCGACTCGTCCCCTGGGTGCGACTTATCGAATCTGGGCGAATTCTCGCCCTGGAGGAACGAGCTCTGAGTTTGGATTATATGCTTACGCTGCTGCTGAGGTGAAGAAAGCAATGGAGGTGACAGAACGGGATCGCTATACTACTGCTACCGAATATGAAAAATTTGTAAGTGCCAGTTGAGTATATCAAGTTCCTGGAACTTTTTGAATGGTAAGTTGCTTAGTTGAGAGGTTCATTACGTGGAGATCAAAGATTGTTGGTTCCCTTTGTTTCAACTCTGTTTTTATTTGGATTGATGAGTGCTATTTTTTTTGTAGCTCTAATGATTCAGTTCTGATAGATGAACCTCTCTGATTCTGATTGTAGGTGGATACAACTCCTCGCTCGTTGAAGATGGCGACTTCTCGGATCTTGAACAGGGCCAATTATGGATTTTCTACTTACACAGTCTCTCGCCGCCTATTTTCTGGAGTGGCCAACGCAAATGAGTCAAGGGGTGTGTATTGGAAAGTCTCCAATATCGATGAAGTAGGAGGAACGGTTGCAGATATCTTAAATCAAGAAGAGGACCTTGCAAAGTCTGATCTTGTACGTTGGGCTGACCTCCTTGACAAGAAGGGGAAAACTCAGCAAGCACTCGAGGTCTTTCTCTTTTTCTCCTTTCTCCTCATTTCAACTTGCTGATTCTGATTCCGCTTGATCCAATTATGTTGTATGAGTCTCTCAGTCTGAATTTTGATCCAATTCTGTTGGTTTTTTTTGCTCGTTTGTCATTGCAGATCTTTGAGTGGATGCAAAGGAAGAAAATGAAGTTTTCTCCCCAGAGAATGTAACCTTTGTGGATCTTCTTGCAAGGACCAAAGGCTTACGTGCAGCTCAGGATTTTGTCAATAGATTACCAAAAAAGGAGGAAAATCTGCCTGCCACTTTTAGGTTCTTAAAATATTATGGGCCGTTTATCCGTGAAGAATTGAAAGACTCTCCTTGGAGTTACATTCCAAAAGGTACTTGACGGAGGTTCTTTTGTTTATCTCGTTTTGTAAATCCTAATTTTGCTGATGATATATTATTATAATCAATGAACGAATGAATAAAAAAAAGGCGATTTGCAGTTGAAACTCTTGTTTATTACCTAGACAATATTTAAGTACCAAAGAGATTTGTCTCAATCGTAAGCTACGTGTAGAAACTAGCTATGGACATCTCAGCTTGGACGTATATGTCTTCGTTGAAGATGGATCATAAACTCCCGGTTCTCACCACATGCAATGCTCCCCTTGAAGAACCGGTTCATTCTCCCCTTGAGCATTCCTACAACATCTTCAGTTTTGACGTAGCGAACCATCTTTGCTCTTTGCCATGTCCGCTATACAACACCTTTTCTTTTTGGTATGGATTGATTTTTTGTGATTTTTTGAAACACCTTTTTCTGCTATGGATGGATTTTTTTCTTTTTGGTATGGGTCTGCAACACACTTGCCAGAAGATGGGTATACTTTCCCTTCTTTTCTACACACGCCTATGCAAGGTTATGACGAAGACCGTGGTCGATCAGGCAGAGCTGTTGTTGGGTGACTTAAGATAAAGGCAGCAATGAGTGGGGTTTCTTTATGAGGAGGAAAGCCGCTGAGAGGCGAGATCAGATTGTAGAGCT